GGATTTATGTTATGCTGCCCCAGGGAACACAGATGCGTTTCACCAGTGGAGCATCTGTCCCTTATATTTGTTAAATTGCAGAAGTAGTTCTGACACCAAGCAACAGGCAGACTAAATATTTTATTTTAAATGGGTTTAGAGTTGCTACTTTTGACAGATTAAATAGCAGAGCCCTTCTTAATTAAAACAAGCAAAATAAAAAGTGTTGGCATTTGTTTACGAACATCTGCAGTAACATTGTTCTTTATAGTTATTGTACACTGTGCAACTGTATATTTGGCCAGCTCTGATTCTGAAATTAAAAATTATGCMGCATATTTGACTCTATGGATGATCTTTCTTTCCTGAGGATTGGAAAGCAATTTTAAATATAAGGAGCAGTAAAATGTGTTGTTCCCTTTCTGCATCTGTTTTCACGGGGTATTTGCAACAATTTGGGTTTTCATGAGAAACTGCCAAGGCAATCAGCACCAGCGCAGGTGCATTCCACAGCAGAATGAGGGGTTGCAGCATAAGGGGGCTGGTTCTGGGTTGGGAAAACCCCAGGGAAGTGCGGAGACCTGCCAGGAGCTGGCAGTGTGATGTGGGTGGGACAGGAGTGATGGCAGACACCCCTCTCCCACAAAGGGCAGTCTAAGGAGTGTGACTGACCAGTTTCTTTGGTTCTGTCTAGTGTGTCCCATCCCAAATGAACATTGTACTAAGCAATGTTGGAATCCTTGTTAGCTATATTTAATGATTTCCAAATGATCTAACTTAGTGACAATTACATGTGAAATTACAGTGAAAATTCTCAAAATGCTGTGTCATACAAATCTAAGAGCTACTTTTGACTAAGTACAGGTGCGTGTTTTTTTCTGGGAAAGGTGTAGTCAAAGGGCAAGATAATGTTTTTTGCCTCTTGAATAAGACAAAATGAAAATGAGGAAAATCACTAAAGTTTGTCTTTTATCCCTTCAGTTGGTCTTAACAGAGCTCTTACTTTCTGATCATCAAAGCTGTAGCATCGTAGAAGATTTGACAGAGGGTCATGTAAGACAAGAAATATCTCTACAAATGAGCAGCCCAAAGTTGCAAATAGAGGGAAAGTAGTTGTGCAAAGACTTGTGTTTAATGTTTGAATGAAAACCTTAATTTTCTTTATGTTACAGTTTGAGAAATGAGGTTCCATCACAGACCAGAATCTGTTTTTTATATACTTTTCCCTGCTGATTTAGACATGAAGAATCATGAGACTCAGACTGGAAASAGTTCTTGTTTCCAGCATTAAATGTTTTGTGAACATGCATTCATTTCTTAGCTTGTCTTTCATCTTTCCAGAGACAAATTCTGGTTTGTTCAATTTTTCACTCAGTACAGGCRAAAACCAGATTGATTCCTGAAGGTGTGGCTGTATGGAGTCAAAGATACTTGTGGCGTGGGTTTGGAGGGGATGTGCTGTGAATGATTTTGTGGGACTGCCTTGGGGCTGCAAGAGAATGAGTTGTGGCCTYACGGGCTCTGCTTATGGAGTTCCTGGTGTGGGAGGTAGGACATGCTAAACAGCAGAAGAAAGTGTCTCCAAACATCCAGGACATAAGATCACAGCAGTTTTGTGTTTTCTCTCTGCAAGGTTTAGGTATGACCCTGTCTGCCGTATGGAAACCTCCACCAGTGATTCAAACCTGCTCAGGGAGGTTCACTTGTGGTTCACAACCTCTCATTGTGTATAATAAGCTGAGTGATAGAATTAAAGTTGGTCAGTTTGGTCAAAGCTTGTAGTGCAAGAAAGTGTTGTGGAAAGGTGCAGAAGGGAAGATGCATCTRTTTTGGACCTTGACAAGTTTTAGAGAACCAGATTAGTCTCCTGTTGAGAAATGAGGGTCAGTAATGTGGATTCAGTTTGTCATGAGTGATTTGATTTGACAAATTCAAGACCAAACTCAGTCCTGGTAACTAAAGATTATTACAGAGATACAGTCTAAAAAATTGCCTGGTTTTTGGGAGTTCTCTGGCAGTAAAAATTCTTCTCTTTCAGCCTCCCCACTCTTTGCCCCCTCCCTCCCCCAGTTCAGTGTTGCACTGGGATTTTAAATCATCACTGGCAGTGATAAGCACAGTAGTGACTTTTGTGGACCTTCCTAATAATTTTAACTATTCAGTATGCTATTGGTCTGGACAGTGTTTATTTGCACTCTTAAGGAGTATACAGTAGCTTTTAAAATGTGTGTTATTGCAGCTGAATAGGTGCCCAGGGCACATAATCATTCAATACAGCAAGCTAGAATTAGAAGCGAAATATAAAAGTGAATTAGAAGTGAAATATATTTCCTTTGTGAACTAGAGGCAGAAATAGCTTTTCTTAGTGCCTAGTACAGAGAAGAGTCAGTCCTCTTGTCCTTCACCTTGTAGCCTTTCCCCTTCTGTAATGAGGAGAGGTCCTTCCAGCAGTGGAGTGAATAGTCTGACAGTGTAGCTCTTTCTCAATAATGTGCATTGCAGAATAAAGGGCAGACTGTGCTGGGCTGGATACTGCAGGGCAGCTCACACTGGTTTATCCAATACAAGTTATGTCAAGTTAAATGAAATCCTCTTTTTTTTTTTTTTTTTTTTTTTTCTTTTTTTTTTTTTTTTATTTTTTTTTCCTAATCTCCAGGACACTGTACTTTCACAAGAAGTGAACTGAACTCTAACCCAAACAAGCTCATTTTATAATGACTCCAAAAGCATGTACTGAATATCTTGCTGTGTTCCAGTATCATAGGTCAAAAACACAACTGAGTGCTAATTGCGCTGTTTAATGCAACCATTTCAAAAGTCTCCTTCTAACCTATTTTTTTGGTCTCACATTTTCTTATTCTATTAGCAGCCCATTTTCTGCTTCCTTCCCTCCCTATCTGACATTTCAGAATGAATAACAAAGCAGTTTTCTAAGTGCATATGCATTTCCTTAAGGAAATCAGGGCTTGAGCACACACATCAGTCTTTGCATGCATGCCAACGAAGCATGAATAAAAATATGCCTGCCTTTGCTTGCCTACATGCCAAAGTCTGACCTTCCGTGCTTTGAACTCTTGCTCCAAAATGCAAATGCATAATTCAAGAGGACTGAGGCAGAATAGTCTTGAGCATAACTTCTGGGTATGTGCTTCCTATAGCAAAATACTTAGATTTGAATTATGGTTCTAAACTTCCTTTGYCCCAGGAGATGTGGTTCCACATCAAGGTCAAGGAAAATCAGGGCATCTGGTGGCTGGGTCAGTCTGCCTCGGCCAGCAGATAAGTGCTAAGGATTGTTTTCTTTCTGGAGAACTTTTCAGGTAAAGTAAGAACATTAACCATGAGAATTTCAGATATGAAGGTGAAATAAGCAGGAGAAAACACCTTTGTGTGTCTTGAGAGACTATATGCAAGAGAATTGTCTTTCCAAAGTAAACTATTCTGGGTATGAGCCAAAGTGGAGCTTGTAGAAAAGTCAGGTTCAAGTGCTGACAGGTGAGATGGTAGCTAAGCAAATGTTTTGGGATAAGAAGGCTTGACTATTGCTTAGGTTTAATTACATCTAATATGCCTCATTTATTGGTTTTTCCTTGCCCAGATGYTCATAATTATTTCGAGGGAAGTTGTTAGGGTGTCAAACATAGCGTTGCATGTAACTGACTTAATTTATTGAGACTGAAAATAAATATTTGAATGTAAAGGTGGTAGCAATCAAGTAATTTTGTATTGCATTACATTCTGAGGAAGTGCAGCCCATCATGTCACAGGAGAATGATGTTTACAAGTCCAAAWGTATGAACTATTGCCTATGTGAATATTTGTTTTCCCCTCCTCATTGACACAGACAAGGCTGCTGTGTAAAAAGAAGTGCATACACACTGGTAGCCTGTGACCACTGGTGTACAGGTTTTTTTTTTTCCTCTCTGCTGAGTATTTGTCTTGTTTGGAAGTGTCATGGGAAATATTCTTCACTTTATTTTACAACCCTTGGTAGCTGAAGAAAATGAGATATTATTGCCATAGAAAAAAAAAAATAAATCCACCCTGCCACAATTATTTAGCCATGAGTATGCATTCAGATTTTGATATGCCCCTATCATAGCACAGATTTACTGACAGCTATGGCTACTGGGAGAAGCCTTGCTCACCCTTAAACCACCAGCTAAATTTTCCAGCTTCCACAGAACCAGAAATTCAATCAGTCACTGCTGCCAACTCTGTAAAATATCACCAAAGTGCTGCTGGAAATGATGCCGAGGTASTTTGCAGGGATAGCTTAGGAAGATAATTTCTTAAATACTGTGTTCCAGAATTGTATGTATTAGTCAAATGTATCTTCTGGAATTCTTGTGGCATTTATATGGAGGCTTTAATACTTTTGTGATTTACTCTTCACTGACTTCTCAGAAAAATCATAAAATTTTTGAAAACTTTTACGAAGGATATCTTAGAAGACACAAAGCAAAATCTTTCTACAATCCCCTGAATTTACTAAAACTTAATTTAGTGCCTTGATTTTTTTTTTTAATGCAGACGTGTTTCTGTATAAAAATTAGACTTTCCAGTTAGTATCTTATACCTGCTTCGGCTTAGAAAAGATTTTCAAAGGTTCTCATGTCTTTTGGTGCCTTAGACAGTGTTCTCTCGATTAGTTGATTTGAATTTGGCCTAGATCATGTGAGCCTTGGTACATTTTACTTCTCTCTTATTTTACTTAATTGGTTTTCATCTGCAGTGAAAAATGTGGAATGGACAACCAGAGCGATATATTCCAGCCTAATTTTGCAACATGCTTAGTATTAGCCACTAAATTTCTTTTCATCAGGGATGCAGCTGACTGCTATCTTTTTTAAATTTAAAGAATTGTTTGTGCACTTAATTTGCTTCASTCTGTTTTCATCAGTGGAAAAGTCCTAGTAAAATGCTAGTTGACCATTAGAAGACAAGATAAGATAAAAYAGAATGATGCATCTTCATTACTATCGTATTCTCTCTGAACTATTTTTTCTTCTTCCTTCCAGGACGGTTCTGTTTACTCTGACCTCTGTAGTTGTGCTCGTCATCACTACYGACTGGATCAGCTGGGACAAGCTGAATCGTGGATTTCTGCCCAGTGATGAGGTCTCAAGAGCCTTCTTGGCTTCTTTCATCTTGGTGTTTGACCTTCTTATTGTCATGCAGGTACACCCTCCTAATGTTCTACTCAAGCTGCCAGAGGCTGCCKAGTCACTCCATTTCTCCTAGAGCAAATGGTGTTTAGCTAAGGTTACAAAAAGGTAAATAAATGTTTAGTTTGCAATCACTATTAGTAGGGGCATTTTACAATGTCATTCTCAGTGACTTTGCAAAAAAGGCCACTGGCTTCTTGTTGTGAAAATATTGCTGATTTCTCTTCTTACAGTATTAGATAAGAACTGCATGACTTTCCAAATTAGAAAGTGTTTTCTGCAAAAGTTGCATGAGGAAAAGAAACAGAAGCTGCTTGTTTTGTAACTTCAAATCTTCTCTGAGGAGGATGAGATAAATTCAGACAAACAAGAAAGGAATACTTCTGTATTTCAAGCATTTTCAGTATGAAACTGAGAAATGTTAATAGGTGAAAATAAGTATTTCTTATTAAGATTCAGCTTTCCACTTTTACATGAAAATTTTGTTGCTTGATGACAGGTCCTTGTAGTGTAATGACTTCTATCTGAAAGGTTAACTGGGGAGATGATTCATTGTAAGCTGCCTGATGTTTGCTACTTCGACTCTAGCTGTTAAAAAAAGAATCTGGGTCACAAGTATGTGGCCAAAAACCTCCTTCATGTGATGCTGTGCTCTCCCCTTTGCATTTGTCTGTGGTTTAAGTCTTGAGTGAATAATTTACCCAAAGCTCTGTGAAAAATTAGGTCATTTGGGTTGAGGCAAGGAAGAGGAGCATCAAAGGCCCATGACTTTTGCCCTTCGTCCTAGACATCTTAGACTGTTGAACTCTCTTTAAAGAGCTTTCTATTACTTGAGTAATTATCACAGAGGTGACACTGGTGGTACTGAGATTCTATCACTGCTGTATTAGGACTTTAAAGCTGCATGGTCCTATAGTTCAGTTTTGTTTTCCAGTGCCCACCACTGTTTAGTTTTCACTGTGGTTCATGGTTAGAACTAGGGGGATAAGGAAGGAAGTACTGTTTTTCTTGTAAGATTTCTGGTGCTTTGTTTTCTTTCCCTTTGAATTTTACTTTTTGTTTGATGTTTCAAAAAGATTCAAGAGAATGTATAATGAATGATTGTACTTTACAGAGCTGTAATGAAAGTGTGAATGAAAATACAGGATGTATCAAGCTATACTGAATTTGATATTGGATGCAGGGTAGAAAAACAGAGCTGCCATCACACAAAGTAATTATTAAAACATCCTTTTGACTTTGAAAAATGAAATTCCAGTATTTTGACCTTGGAGCTGCTGAATATAAAGAAGACTCTAATGTGAAACAGCTTGTCCTGAATACTCTTTCATATTTCTATAACACAAAGGAAGACGCTCATTTTAATTGCATTTCCAAGTGATATTTGTGCGATTGAGTTATTTATTTACGTGAAGTTATTTATTTGGACTGTGAAAATACATTGGCATGTTTTATTTAAAGTGTTATTCTAGCACTGCTGGTGCAATGATCTCATTTTGAGGGACCAAAGTATTAAATCACACAGAATCACAGAATGACCAAGGTTGGAAGGCACCACAGTGGGTCATCTGGTGCACCCTCCCTGCTCAAGCAGGGTCACCCCAGAGCACATTGCACAGGATTGTGTCCAGACAGTTCTTGAGTATCTCCAGCGACGGAGACTCCACAACCTCTCAGGGCAATCTATTCCAGTGTATGGTCACCTGCACAGTAAAGTTCTTCTCCTCACATTCAGGTAGAATTTCCTGTGCATTGGTTTCTGCCCATTGCCTCTTGCTTGGAATCATCAAGTAGAGCCTGGCTCCCTCGTTTTGACACCTTCCCTTCAGATTTGCAGACATTGATAAGGTCCTCTCTCAGTCATCTCTTCTCAAGGCTGACCCAGCCTCACTGTCTCAGCCTGTCCTTGTAAGAGGGATACTCCAGTTCTCTGATCATATTTGTCGCCCTCCACCCTAGTTCTTTATATTTCCTGGGACAAAGGAAAAGGCAAAGCCCCCACAAACCAACCAGTTAATTTATCTACTTTGAAATGTTAATTATGTTTTGTAGATGTCATTGTTCAACAGTAACACAGAAATGTTGTCATTCAAAATGTTTTGATTAAAATCTAGTGGGATATTTGAGTACATTAAAAACACAACACCCAACAGCAAGTGCATAGAAGAAGGTGATGTCATTTGCTTGAACAGTTAAAGATTGAGTAGAAATACGGTCTTGTTCCCAAAAAGTGTATGAAGACTTGGTTTTGGTTTTTTGTTTTTGGTTATTTTTAGAAAATCTGTTTAAGTCTGGAAATGTAATTTGATGATACTTTTAACTGGATTTGGACTCAGTAATTTGACAGAATTAATTTACACGTATACAAACAAGAGGAGGATCCTGATTTACACTTTAAACAGAATACACAGGTATGGTAGTTTTCCCTTGAAACAGATAAGCAAAAGATATTTTGTGTTCACAGACAAAATGGGATATACAAAATAATTTGTCATTCCTGTCAAGGTAGACTCTCTCAGCTGTATATTTGATTCAAGAGTGGTACATAAATTTTTTTGTTTCCTAACAAGCAGCAGTGGTAAGCACTGATGTATAGCTTGTTCCTGAGGAAGTTGCTAAACTCTGAATGAAAATGTCCTTCTAAAAAACTCCCATTTAGCACAAAAACTTCTGAAGAAGTGCACATGTGAATGTCAAGGTACTTTCCATCATGCCTCTTCTGGGTTTTGTAGCATTTGAAAACAGTTTAATAAAAGACAAGTCCAAACCCATAAGAAACATTCGTGTTAGTTAAGTTAGCAAATAACTTTTGCATCATCTCTGACATTCAGAATTTCTTCTATGGGTTTTTATTCATGCACTACCTGCCCTTTCAAATGTGAGCTTAGCAATAAAGGCAGGTGACCAGTGGCAGGCTTTTCAGATGTCAGGATAAATGGGAATTCACCTTTAATAAAACTGATGACACATTCAGCTCCATTACTGGTGCCTGCAGCCATTACCATGTGGCAAGGCTGTACAGGGAGCAGCAATGTACCCTGGACTACTTTTGTCAGAATTATGTGGAGTGTTTCATTCCACTCAGAGTATGTTGCTCTTCACCAGCAGACTTTAGACATGCCTGTCAAGCAGCATTACAGAAATGGATCACCTTTTTGAAGACACACTTGTACTCCGCCAGTTGTGCAATGTTTGCCCAAGAATCCTGCTGTGAGGGCTGCCTCTGTTGTGATGTATCTCCCCGTGGCTTGCAGATCTCTCTAGGAGAAGGGACAAGTTCAAGTGAGGTAACTTTGGGAGAAAGCTTTCTGCAGCAAGGAATAGATTTTCCTTCCTGCAAAGTTTCTCACACAGTAAAGGCTTAACCCCTCTTCTTTCGTCCATTTTACATCCTCCTCTCTCTATGGATTGTGGGAGTGTTCCGTATCAGTATGGATGTAAAGCATTCAGAAATAATCCTGAAAATAAAAGTGAATTAAAGGAGTGGGAAGGAACAGCCTTGATCTACACCTTCACTTTATTGGTACTTACTGTGAAATTCAAGTGACATACCTGAGTATATTCCTAAATAACATTTATCTAACAAAATTATAATGTTTGTCATGCCATTGTTGTCACCATGGCATTTCTTTGTAGTGGATCAGATGTGCATCTTTCTTGCCTATTCTAGATTTGTTTATTTTCTTGAATCTGCCTCTACAGCTGCTACTCATGGATTTATRGCTGCATTGAATTTCTCAATCGCAAAGTGCTCTGTTTTTTTTTTCCCTGAGAGTCACTGCTTTGAGTGATATCAAGTCTCTTTCCTTTCCATTTTGAACACAAAACAGTAGCTCTCCTGAGCCCCACTTTCATCCACCAGACCTCGGTTTTCTCTTAACTTTCCTGTATCATGCCTCTGTGACTGGTAACAAGGGAGTGAGTTATTTCCTGGCTGTTGTGTACTAAGAAGAACAAGTTAGTGTGGTCCCAGAAATGTTCAGGAATGAGCAAGTAGAAATGGAGAGTCCTACAGAGTGAAATGTTCCTGCCCATCTCCTGGCAGGGAAATGAGGCTCTGAGTTACCAGGGCCTGAGGACAAGGCAAAGAGRAATGTACTATACTTGTATGTCAGAGAATGAAACAATGCATTGGTAATTCAATGCTTTTCTTTTAAAGGAAAACACTTTTGAGTTTGATGAAATGTAGGTACTGTTTATGTAAAAGGATGATGAGGTGCAAAAAGTACAGCATTTATATGTGCAATTGAAACCCAGAAGTTTCTGTTGCAATATTTTCAAGATTTGGTGGGATGTATAAATCCCCTCTAAAAATCCTTGAAACATTCCTTTGCCCCCTTGCCAGAGCCCACTATAAAGCACAGTTTATTTCTTCAAGTCTTTCAGTTACTTTGGGATTAAAGAAATTATAAGCAAAATAATTTTTCTGCTGAGAATAGGTGGGTGTATCTTGTCCCTTACTGCACATTATATGCCTCACCATTTTAATGAGCTGTCTGGTTTTTCTTGCAGTGTTATCATTCTGTGCTTGTCTAGTTTGATAACTGGCACCATCATTTTATGCTGTAGATTTTATTAAACCAGACATGTGAATTACATTATTTTTAAGTACATTTCATCTTTATGCTGATTGCAGATGGTTAAATCTTGCTTGGATGCATTATATTTGTCTCAGGCATTATAAATTCAACTCCAGTGTTTTCTTCAGCTGCTGTAACTTGGTGTATTTGTGCTGACCTGAATCCTCTTGTGCCAATTTATACTGGCTGAGGGCTGAGCCCTTTTTTTAGCTCTGTCACTTAGTTCCTCATTTTCAGAAAAGGAACAACTGTAGTTCTTTTCTTTCACTAGTTGTGTGATTGTCTGCTTAAGCCCCCAAGGTGCTCAGTGAAGGAGGCTGTCTGACTTGGTACAGCTTCCAGTGTAATCAGGCACCGGTCCCAGCTGGAGCCTCTTGGCTCTGAGAYGACTACACAAAAAATGAATTAGCTGGAAAAGCTTCTCATTTGTCAC